AGGTCGTCTGGATCAATACCCTCCACCTCCATTTCATGGAAGATTTGGATGGCATCACGTCCATGACCAAAGTGAGCATATCCAGCGATCAAAGCCGTCCATGTCACAAGCGTCCGTTTGGACATCTTCTCGAAGAGGTTCCTTGCCCCGTCAAGATGCCCGTTCTGGGCATATCCCACAACCATGGAATTCCAGGAGAGAATATTTCTTTCAGGAATCTTGTTAAAAATGCTGCGGGCCTCTGCCACGTCCCCAGCCTGAGAATATCCGCCAACGAGGATGTTCCAAGGCACCGCATCGTCCAGCGGCATACTCTCGAAAACTCCCTGCGCGCACACCATCTGCCCTTCCCGGGCATATGCATGGAGGAGCAAAGTCCATGATATAACGTCTTTCATCGGCATCTGGTCAAATAATACTTTGGCATCTTCAAGATGCCCATGCTGCGCAAAAGCTTGCATGATCGACGTCCATGAAAGAACGTCTCGCTCCGGCATCTTATCAAATAAAGATTTGGCTTGCTCGCAATGGCGATCACTTTGGGCGTAAGCAGATATCATAGAATTACAAGCCACTAGATTGTGCTCGGGCATTCTATCAAACACTCTATTGCATTTTTCCAAGTCTTGATTTTCCACAAAAGCTTGTAGCAATGCACTCCAAGAGATGATATCTCTCTCCAGCATTCCATCAAACGTTTTCTTGGCCTCCTCCACAAACCCTCTTTGAGAAAATGCCGCCACCATTGCGTTCTGTGAAACCAGGTCCAAAATAGGCATGCCGCTCGTAATATCTTCAGCTTTAGGAATATTCCCATCCTGGGCATATGCTGCGGCCATAGCCGTGCAGGACACTGTGTTTCGGTAAGGCATTGAGACAAAGATACTCTGAGCGTGATCCAGCCGTCCGCCTGCAATGTAGGCTTGCATCATCACCGTCCAGCTGTAGATATTCTTTTTTGGCATGGTATCAAACGTGTGCTTGGTAGCCTCGAGATTCCCTTCCTGGGCATATGCTTGAAGAATAGTTGTCCAAGATATCACGGTTTTTTCGGGCATTTCCTGAAACAATTTCCAGGATTGAGTTAAATACCCAGCTTGCGTATAAGCCACTAACAAGGCGTTCCACGACACGGAGTTACGAACGGGCATCCTATCGAATATTAGTTTTGCTTCTTCCAAATGCCCGTTTTGGGCATATGCGACGAGCATGAGTGTCCAGGTGTAGAGATCGGGCTCGCGGATGCCGTCAAAAACGGCCCTGGCTTCCTCCACGCTATGGCACCGGCCATACATCTGTACCACCAGATTGGCCAGGAACTTATCGCTGTGGAGGCGGGGAGCGATGAGAGAATGGAGGCGCTTGGCCTGCGTAAGATCTCGGCAGGATCGCAGTTCCGGCAGCAAATCTTTGTGCGATTCGCGCTGCTCGTAGTGCGCGGATCGGTTAGAATTCACAGGCATTCTTCACGAATTTAGCGCGCGAATAACATTTTTGAAACTCTAATATTAGACTAATATAGTTTGATCGTTTGATTTGTAAACACACCGAGTTTCCAGATACAAACGTGGGTGAGCTTGAATGAACAATTGAGAAACAAAAGGAGGAAGTCCAATGGCCTGTTTTGTTTCCTGCTTGAGAGCGATTGTTATATGATTCGTCACGAAATGGATGAGTTCCGTGCGGTTTTTCTTTTGTTGATCATCAGTTCCTCATTGCTGTTGTTTGCTGGATTCATCGGTGCAATATCGGCTACGGGAAATAGCAGCAAACAGTCCAGTTTCGTGTCATGCTAAAATCCATCCAAGCCCCCATGAAAGTCTGCAACCACCAACAAAAGATTCATCAAATTGTCTTCTTTGCTTCATTCTCAAATCTAAAGGCTCATAGCATGAAAAGCAAAAGCAACGCGATTAATCCAATGGTCTAGTGGTATGATAGGAGTATTGAGTTCGACTCTCGAAATTCGCCTCCCTATAATCATTTTGTTCAGCAAGGTGAGAGCAATTATAGAGCAGGTGCTTCATTCCAAACTTGGCACCACGGTAGAATAGTTAGATCCTGGGTATCAGAGCGCCAATCCTCTGGGCGTTCATGTTAATCTGTGAGGATGAGGGAGCGGGAAGAGAGCTGTCCGATTGAGAGGCTGTCTCCGTCTCCCAGGAGCAGCCAGGGTTCCATGATCGGGGTCACGGCAGAAATGGCTAGGGCTTTTCGCCATGCACAAGGCGGCCAATGTGACGTTGGAGCCAGATATTGACGTGGCATCCTCATTGGAGGGGCTGGGGGAGATCAAGAATGTGCTGCAAGCATTCATGCAGCAGTATCTGACGGATCAGAAGCATGGAAATGAGCAGTATTTGGCCATGCAACAATCTTGATCAGTCTCTCTGGCAGCTCGGTTCGCAGCAGGAGCAGATCTTGGATCGCCAAGATCAACTGGAGGTGCGCTTGCATGGCAGAAAGACTGATCAAGAAAGCAAAGGACCAAAGGACTGGACTTGAAGTTTAGAGTGGCAAGATCAACTCCAGGAATGCCAGGAGAGAAGGATGTGTTCAAGTATCGATGGACGGGGCCAGCTCGCCAGCTGACTGGTTCCAGGGCTCATCAACGGTTCCACTTCTTCCAGGAGGCACAGACCAGAAATTGATAGACCGGATGCGTGGAGTCAGGTCTGACAAACAAGGGGAGGAGAGAACCCCACAGGTGACTGCTGGGGGAAGATGGCAGCCAAAAATCCCGCTGGAGAAGTGCAATGCAGCCATAGTGAACGACATTGCACTCCAGATGGAGCTTCCACTGGGTGCTGGATTCATAATGTCTTCCATGTCTCTAAGCTGCATCACGGACCACCACCACACACCTTGGGCTCGACTTGGGCCAACAATAGGCAACTTCTTCGTGGAGCTCATCCCCTGGTGTTATGAGTCATTTCCGTAAGTAACAGTGGAGATGATATAAAGCAAGAGCACAGGGCAGGCTATTCATTTGCCAATAATGTTGCAAACTGGAGTAAGAATGGCAATTGGAGGTATACTTGGGTTGCACTCAAACAGTGATGTAGATTAGGGCTTCTGAGGTGGCAAGATCCCGAGAATCTTAGAGCTGAAAGATAGGAGCATGGCTAAACAACATAAATCCCATTGTGTCAAATATTATAGAGTGAGTGTGTTCAGAGATCTTGTGTCGGTATCAACAGTGTACTGTGAGGCTGGGCATGTGCTTGTTTGCACTTGTGGCAGATCATCACTTGTTTTATCGGCACAAGATCTTTCCTAGAAAGAGACATATATAATTGGTGAGGTTGCCACTAGTAAGCAGAGAGCAATTGGGCTGTGTCGAGATCAAGGAAGCATCAGTAAGTTGATGTGTTGAATATTCCATGCCACATGATAAGTTAGTTCATGTATCAAAGGTGTTATATGATGATTCTTGCATCTAGAATGTGAGTTTTTTTTGCTAATCTTTAACCTAATACTATTGCAACATTTTCTTGAAGAGTTGAACGCAGAAAGATGGCTGATGGTGGATTTGGTTTAAGACTAAATGAACTTTTTTGCAAAGTTCTAAAAATGCATTTGGGCTGACATTACCAAAGAGGAGGATCATACCAAAGGAAAGATACCAACAGTACAAGGTTTGGCCTAATACCTTTATCCAAAACAGTGGCCATAAGGTAACTCCTTCGAAAATGCCATGACAATATATCCACAGGCCAAAGAGAGTGATGTCAGCCAGTCTGCATCACCAATGTCTGTAGCTAGCCAAATACCCGCGTCCAAAGAGGAAAGATGCTCCAAAAGTGATAGTGCATCGTGGTTGCAAAGATAACTTGCAACTGGCTTGTCCTGTTTTGATGATGTTTGTTGCTGCATATGTCACGGCCTTGTGTCCAAGGACCCCGATCTCTATCAGGTCCATTGTATTGAATAAATGAGACAACCAGGGGGGAAGAACTCCCTGAATCAGAAGGAATAGATAGCCAAGCAAGCAGGGAATGGAACGAGAGGGATGGAGAGAAGTACAGAGAGAATAACAGCCTGCCCTGAGCTCACATCGTCCCCACTTATAACTGGCATGACTTATATGTCTAGTTTCAAAATCGATCGAATCAAACAATCTGTTCTGCATCACCAAGAACAATGAACAGCAGTAGAACAACAGAGAACAAAGATTGTACGATAGAGATTCCTGTAGTTACAGCAAGCCGAAGAACAAAATCGTGTGCGCTCGCAACTTAAAAACATACAAATCTAGTACAAGTACTGAAAAAAGCCTCTCCCGCTTGAAAGGTGCCGCTTGCTCGAGGGACAGTCTTCCATTTTGTAACTCTGTGTTTCTCCACAAAATGCTTCGTGTGTGCTCCAATTCTTTAATCTGTTGTATCAGCTGTCATGGGTCTTGGAAGTTCTACATGGTTTAGAGGAGTCTCCTCGTTGTCGGCCCAAGGTTCTCTCCTCCACTACCGCTAGTGGATCTAATTTATTCTTTCCTCTTCCCCTTTCCCCCTTGATTCTAATTGTGGTGCTGCTTCCTTTGCATAATATTTGCGGGCCAACCACGTCGTTTTCATAAAATGCCTTCATTTTCTCTCGCAAATCTATTCCTTCATCTTGCTTGGCTTAACAGAGCATTAAAACTTTCGCCTTCGAACGTTCCAAATTCCATGCGTAAGTTCTACTCGGGGTATCATGTGTTGCATATCTACGGCCACTGGAGCAGGGTCGAAAAGAGTGATAGCCTGGAAAAGTCGAACAAAAGAGCCCTCTACAATTGAAGGGCAGGGCATTCAGCTGCTTGACTACCCTTGAAGATGCACTTGCAACACAAACAAGTCCCACAAACAGATTGGAATCTAGTTGGCAGTTGTTCACCTTCCTGTCAAGGTTGAGCACTCTTGCAATTGGTCTGCAATTCTATTGAGAGCTTTACTTTCTTAACATCCTACCCTTTGGGTTAAACCCAGTCAGAGCAAATTAAATTTATTAGATGAGTTAGCTTCAATATCTTTAGTAAGGTATAAACTCCATCCATAGCCATTTGGTGTGAGTTTGATCTCGACATGTCCAGCATAATCGCTAGACTCTGGAGCCATTTTGAACTTGCAGTTGTTCCATATGTAGTCCTCCAAGTCGTAAACACCCTTCTCTGACTGCTCTAGGAACTTCGAACATCTCGCTATACTCAGCCTTTCTTGATGAAGCAATTGCATGCAGAAGAGCCCGCTCCAGACAGCGGAGAGCTTCACGATGTACGCCAAATGCACTGAGAGCGGCCGCTTTTCTGAAGAGACACTTTTCATGTAGTGGATTTGCCTCCAGCACCATATTGCAATCTGCGAGTGCTTCCTCAGCCTCAGGAATGCCTCGGAGCTACATTCTTGAACGAAAGGTGTCCCTGTTAGATGCAGCCAGGAAAACTCCTTCACTCGTGATTAAAGCCCTTGCATGCACAGGCTGTATTTCTGGCATGCCAGAAGGTAGCTGCCCTCATAAAACAATCTGAACTTTCACCACTCAGTTAGAATCCAAAGAAGTAAGAAAAGACCAACCTGTTTCCTTCAAGTCGGAGAGACCTAGCCTCCACTTCATCCAGCTCACGAGCCTGGTGACCAAGAGTCATTTCGAAGCCATGCACATACGGAACTCATATAAGCCGCAGCGAAGGATTTGGAATTGCTACCTCAAGACCCTTGGGAAACGAAAGCCCTGTAGCCGTTGAGAGAGAGAGCCGCTCCTCGCCTCTCGACTAAGTGTGCCTCTCAACACGTTAAAATCTCTGGGCAGCTTGCTCCGCTTCTCGCTTCAGAATCCCCCACATTCAGCTCGCCTCTCGGATCGGCAGAAGCAGGAGGCCATTCTTAAAGCCCTGACCCCTTAATTAATCATATCTCGGTTCAATACACCAATTTAGTCGGTCAAGATATTTGGCTCTCAGCCAGAAGACCCTGGTTCGAATCCCGGAAATGGAACTGAGGTGCCGGGAGCAGCGATGATGCGGCACGAGACCTGCATTTGATAACCAAAAAGCCTGACTAATGCAACGCCTCAACCGAGTCGTTGATCTGGTGGAGTCCGCTGTTGCTATGCGCACTTCCGGCGCTCATAAATCACTCGTGTCTTCTGAACGTGACTCTAAGGTGGATATCGATTGGTCACAACAGCACTTCCAGCTCCTCGTCTCTTCCAAGGTGGATATTGATCGGCCAGGCTATGAGAAATATATATATATATATATATATACATATATATATTCTTCGCGCTTGAAATATATTTCCTTAATATTAAAACCTCAAACTTTAATAGCTTCATAGTTACCTTTAGACCGCTTTCTACTTCTGTACCAGAAACAAAACAAGACAAAAAAAAAGATAAGTACAAAAAGCTTCCACTTCTGTGCCCGACAACTATGCTCTGCTTAACCTTCCTCATCGTCATCTTCATCTTCGTCTTCATTTTCTTCTTCTTTGTTGTCTTCATCATCCTGTTCTTGATCGAGGCCGAGTTTCCGCAAAGCATCCTCAACTGCCATCCTCATGCAAGCAGGGAACAGGTGCGGGTCCAAACAGCATCGTAAGATCTGCAAGCGCCCCGTCCTTGAAGACTTTGTGATGCCGAGCCTTGCAGAATAGAACGCCAGAGCAAGGGATAGGATGTCGTCTTCTTCTTTGTAAGGCTGCATCGAGCTGGATGGCGAGTGATAACCGCGAGTGCCAACCTTTCTCCTCAATTCCTGACGATCAGTTTTGAAACAGGAGACGTCGTAGTCATCAATACATTCCCTTTAAACACCAGCATGTTGTCTGGCTTCATGTCTCGATGCAGGATGCCTTTGCGGTGAAGATGCCTCAGACCTTCGAATGCCTGGTTCCACATCATCTCAGTTGAAGCTAAATCACTTATATGCTTCGCTCTGAAAGGCTCCCCAAATCCGTCCAACTCCAAAAACTGGAAAACACCCTCCCTGTTCCCGACGTCCACAGTCCCCCAGTTCAGTAGTTGCCGCAGATTAGGATGATCATCCGATGCTGAATGTATCTCTCTCTCGGTGCCAGCATCTGCAGGCAAACATATCTTCAACACCGTTGAGCGCGATCTCCTGAGCATGACAAGCGACGTGCGGCCATAAGCGACGATGTTCAGGTCTGAGATGCTGATATCGTCGTTGTGTGCTCCACGAAAACGAACAACTGAAACCCGTAGACCATGTATCTCACGCAGCTGCTCCATGTATGCAACCAACGTCGAGAATCCCAGTGACGGCACGCCAGGAAGGATATCACAGAGCCTAACACTCCACAGCCTGCTCTCGCTGTCGTCCAAATCCCTCAGCTTCATCAGTATGAAGGCGGGATTCATCAGGGCCAACTGCTGCGGAGTTTCATTGGGCTTCTGCGCTCGTGGGAACTCAGGACTCACCTCCACACTTCCGTCTTGTCGCAGATATTTCACCACCCAGAACCTGTCCATGCGGCAGAAAAGGCAGCCCATAGCCACAGGCTCAAGTATTCAGCTTCTTGCCCAATCAAGAGTGCATTCGACTCAACTCCTGTCGGGTCACTGTCCTTTGCGTGCTTGACTGAAGTCTTCACTTTGGTTGGAGCCTTCATCTTGGAGCTCACGAAACCCTGAAGATCCGACTTCCTTACGTTTCCCTCTCCTCCAAAGTGCAAACCCTCCTGCCCAAAAGATGCCGCTTCCAGGAAGCACAGAATCGCAGGGTAGTAATCCGCTTCCGCCACCTTTATCTTCCGAAGTCTAGCCGTCCGTAAATGAGTGAGCTGCACTTTACCTCCTTCGACTAGCAAGTACAGCCACCGAAGGGCAACTAAAATCCGGTCGGCCTGGCCTAGCATTGTCTCCGGCTGCACACAAACCCGTTTATACCTGCTGATTGCCCTTAGCACTAGTGACATATGTATTGCTCGGAACCCGTTTTTTACCTGAAAAAACGATCTTTAGCACTAGTGACAAATGTATTGCTCAGAAGCCGTTTCTTACCTTCAAGTTTTTTCAGGAAGGAGCGAAGTGTGGCCGCTTTGTCCTGTGGAGTCGAAGGAATGAAGTACCTAGCTACCAAATGCACAGGCATTTCCATAAACTCTAAATGGATCCACGCCTTCTCCTCGGCAGTGAGCGGCAAATCCCACAGCGCCTTCAAAAATGACTCGACCGCCATGCCCTAAGAAAACCTTTATGGATTTTTATGAGAAAAACTTATATTTAGGGTTTGAGTAAAATGAATATCGGCAATGAATCAGGAAATCCATAACTATATTATAAATAATGAAATCTTTTAATTTTAATTATTGTTTTAAAAATATTTTTAAAGTCACTGCAGCGCCATTACTATGTTTTCCTACTCTCTCCTATCTTACCATCTATCTAAACGCCAGGTTGACGGCCTTAAGGTATTTTGCAACTTCCGGAAATCCAGTGTTGGAGTGCTATAAATTGTGGTGGAGGTCCTCGACCGCTAGGTGGCGGACATGAACATTACACCTTTACTTCCAACTCAGCACAAAGAGCTTGCAAAATTAAATGTATCTTGCCTTTTCATGCTCTGACCTTTTTCCATAGCGCTCATAGCGCCTCAACGAGAAGAATCTATTGCAGAAGATGCTGCCGGCGTCATTCTACCATTGCTGATCGAACAGCGCGATGACACGTGGCCGTAGACTACGTGTCCTGGCTTGCGAAGCATATTCGAAGGTGCTTGACAAAGAGGAAGCGCAGCGATAGATAGGGATTTCTTTTCTCTGTTCTTGGCTTCGCGTCATCGCTCAGGGTTTGGGATGTGCTGCCGAGGGATGATGTTGTAGCAGCGACGATCAGGGCAATGGATGATGGCGCCAGCCCTGGCGCATTGCGAAATCCCAGCGCCGGAGCCGGCATTGTGCTGAAATTGCGAAAGATTGATCATCGGGAGCTTCCCAGCGATGTTTCTCCTCGTGTCTACGTCGCGGCAGCGGATCGATCATTCCAGAACGCGGTAAGTTCTTTATTCTCTATTCTTTTTATAATTTTCTCTTCTAGTGCTCGTCACAGATGGATTTGGAGCGTATAGGTTCGGATACTTGGGAGCTCACGAAAGCTTTTCCCGTTGATTCAGGTACCACTGCCATAGCACTTTAGCTACATGCTAGCTTATAGCGCTTTCCAGGAAAAGTACGTTTCAGATTCTCTCTAGACGGCACTGGAATCTCCAATGGCGATGAATTTGGGGATCACATTTTCTCTCTCGATGATAGAGAAATCTCCGAAGTTTTCATTCATAGCTTTAAGTTTGCAGTGACCATATCCAAACAAGAGGTAAGGTTTTTATGCGTTTCTTTCAATAGCGAGTGATTATTATTGCGAGCTTCTTGCGAATCTCAGGAAAATGGCGTATTGGTTTCAAAGGAGAATGCCTTGGCACGACCCAGGTCCGTATCAATCAAGGTGTGTTGTTTTCACAAACTGGAATATTTCTTTACCACTTAACTATATTCTTGTTAAGGACTTGGTGCTTTTAGGCTCTGAAGACCCTCTGGCAGTGGAGTCTACTGTTTCTGGAATGGGGACAACGCCAAAGTCGCCAGAAGCAAGAATGTCATCCCGTTCTATCGGCACGGATCCTTCAACTCCTCGTTATGAGGACCACCAGGGCCTCTTTGTGAACAGGAGCGTCGGTAACTCTCCAAAGCTCCTCCGGATTTCCAGTGATATTAGTATGTTGGACGGCGATTTGGGGCTGAATGACAAGCGAGAGGTGAGCATTTATAAATTGCTGGTTGTCTTGATGATTGGAAACTCGTTTCCTCCTCCTTTCTCTCTTCAGGATATGCCGGAGGCCACTGGAGCTGTGGCAGCTGCAGCGGTCTCTGAAAGAATGCTGCTTCCAAAAGAACGGCGCCAACTCGCTATTGTGCTGGTAGATTGTCGTCATTCTTAACTCTTATCTTTGAATCGGGTTCTACAGGTGGGCTTACCAGCAAGGGGGAAAACTTTCACTGCTGTCAAGCTAACAAGATATCTTCGTTGGCTTGGTCATGACACTAAACACTTCAACGTTGGAAAAGTCAGTCAGTCACTTTGTTTGTCTTGAAGGGCTCTCAGGTTTTTGGTGTGATTTTTCTTACCAGTACAGGCGTTTAAAACACGGCTGCACTCAGGTAGATGTGAAAGCATGGTTGACAAAAATGTAACAATGTGTGACTGTAGGCTGCAGACTTCTTTCGTGGCGACAATCAGGAAGGTGTTGATGCGCGAAACGAAGTGAGTTTTTTCCTTTTCTTTTTATTTCGCATTCGTTTCTTTCTTCTTTCTTTGCTTGTGTCCGGCTTGCGCCAAATGACTATCTTTTATTTTGTAGGTCGCGATTCTTGCAATGGAGGACATGTTCTCCTGGATGGACGCTGGTGGTCAGGTGTGATGTCATTTCTGGTTTGATGTAGCTTTAATTCTGATTTACGCAGATTGGTGTCTTTGATGCCACGAATAGCACGAAAGAACGAAGGAACTTGATTTTAAAACTAGCAGAAGACAAATGCAAGGTAACACCTTTTAAATTTCTTGAGCTGAAATCTGGCTATATTATATACATTGAAGGTGATTTTCTTAGAAACAATCTGTAAAGACCAGAGTATAATCGATCGCAACATCAATCTCAAAATCCAGCAAAGTCCGGATTACGCTGACCAGTAAGCGCTTAAAGTCACTCTTTCATTTTGGATTAAGTTTCTATAAAACAGAACAGATTATAATGTGGCACTCAAAGATTTCAAAGCTCGCCGTGAAAACTATGAGAAAGTAATGTACAATTTATATTCTCACAGACACTCACTCTGTCTCTCAGGTATATGAA